ACTTTAAAATATTGTTTTATTTTTCGACCGGAACTCGTGCGTCTGGAATATGCGTAAACGCGTAAATATTGTCATTTTGTGACGGGGCCTTGTCCCGTTCACATCCGTCTCTCGCTCTTGAGTATGTTAGTTTATTTGCCTGCAAATCAGCCGAGATATGTCTTATTTTATTTTATAACAAGGCTCCCCCAGACCCCAGTCTGATTTAGAGTGAGCGTTATTCGTGTATATTTGGGTGATTAATTCATGATAAAGTCTCTGAAGCGTGTGGGAAGTTGTCCTCGTGTTCTTCTTATTGGCATTTGTTTTGGTATGGAGTTATTTGCTGAATTATGTGTCCCAGAGGGATGTGGAGGAGAATGATCCTGGTGACTGTTACATGGTGGAGGCAGAGGGATTGTATTAGATAGATGTGGAGCCAGTCGTCGGATATGTGCACGGTGAATCCAGATTGTATCACCATTATCGTTTTGCACCTGACACATCATATTGCTCGTTTTTATAATGGTGAAATTTCCTATCCAGGGCAGATGAGAGGATTGGGCAACAGTTGAGTGTGGCTGGTGAGGTAAAACCTTGTCGCCTGCTTGTATTGGGTCCTTGTATGTGAGGCGATTTAAGTTAGTCTCAAGTTTGTGGTCAGCTTCATCGTTGGCCAAGGTGACATGGTGGTGAACCTGCTTTAGCAGGGCATTAATTTGCATTCCATATGCTCCAGGATCGTCACTTGCGATTTCTTTTCTGTGGAGTGTGGGTAGGCCGATGTTGACGGCCAGTAATGGCATATGGGGAGACACCGGTGGCGCTGTTGGTCGTGGCATTCATGGACGAAACGACAGATTCTAGAACGTCTGTCCATTTACAGTTCCTGTCTTCGCATAACATATAAAGTGCGTTCTTCATCGTGCGATGTTGTCTCTCGATATTTTCTGAGCTTTGCGGGCGCCAAGGACAGTGAAGTTCTTGCATGATTGAAATCTAGTTACAGAATTGTTGATAGACTTCTCCAGTAAAGTGTGTGCCTCGATCAGAGGATATTATGCGTGGAATCTCTCTGTGTCGAAGGTAGAACTGGTACAATCCGCGGGCGGCATCGATAGCATGGTCTCTCGCGCATGGTATGGCTGTGAAGTGTCGGCTGAATCTATCCAAGATGGTTAGAGGATGTAGCGTTTTCCCTTTGAGTTGGGCATTGTGACAAAGGTCTTTTCCCTGGCCTCCTGTTGACTGCTGTTGACTGCTGTTGACTGACGCGATCAAATGGCTTCTTTCCTCGTTTGCAGTAGTCAATGGGCCAGTGGGTACGTCTACTTTAGTTGCCCTTGCACTTAGCACACGTGTCGCAAGAATCGACATAGGCCTTGATGTCACGGTTTTTGAATTCCCACCAATAGCTAGAAAGGAGTTCTCGCATACGGGTAACACCTGATTGGTTGTTGCCCTCATGTGCCTGATAGAGGTATCTGGATCGTAGTTTGTATGGTACAACCAATCTCGGAGAGTGTTTACTGTCTCTTATCATCAAAACGGAGGTGCCTGTTTCTAGAAAAAAATGGTGCAAATGTTTTTTGAAAAGTGTAGCTCGGTGGTCGTCAGGATCGATATGAGGTTCGCTTGGAGTGGGTGACTGGAGGGCGCTGATGATCTTTGCCAGGGCGTCGTCCTTCTGTTGTTCCTTTGCGATGCTGAGGTGGTTGCAGATTCTCTCAGTGGGGATGGTGGTGGTAGAGTGATAGGCGAAGAATGCATTGGCGACGCGCTTGTGGGTGCGTGCGATTTGTGGTGTGTGAGTTTTGGGAATGAGCTGTAAACCATTAAACTCGCCGAGGCACCAAGATGGGATGTATACGCGGAGGTCTGAACCACTTACCTCGACTGTCCTGCCTGCCGGTGTAGGGTCGTTCGGGGCTTTCGTTTTTTTATGTCCGCAACCTCTGTTGAGCATGTCAGCCCATACATTTGATTCGCATTCAACGTATTCTAAGACGAATTTATAACATGAAATTTCTTCTTGCCATCGTCGTATTTTGGCATTATTGAACTCTCGTTGGTCCAGATATGTCAGCGATCTGTGGTCGGTGAAGATGACGAAGAGGCGGTTGCGAAGGAAATAATCAAATTTCAATATTGCCCACTTTACTGCATATGCCTCTCGTTCCGTCGTGGACCAGTTCTGTTCCGTGGAGTTGAATGTATGGGAACCGACCGCTATGATATCTTTCTTCCCATTGTCGGCTTCTTGCATTAAGATTGCTTCACATGCGACGTCATTGGCGTCGGTGGTGAGTGTGAAAAGTTTGGAGAAATCCGGAAACGAGATGACGGGTTGTGAAGAGAGACGTTCCTTGATTTTTTGAAGGCTCTGTCGGCATTTTGCGTCCAGATAAACGGTTTATTAAGCTTGTTGAGTTCGTGTATGGGACCCATAAGTTTTGAAAACATATCTGACCTGATTTGTTCGTGAAGACGTGTCTCTAGGAATTGTCTGATCCACACTAAACGGCCGAAAAAGGCTTTGTAATTCCTTTTTTTGATGTTGGAGGTTTCATTGCCTTGATGGCACGAACGTATTCTGGATCAGCATTGAATCCTTCGCAGTTTACTATGCGTCCGAGGAATTTTGCCTCTGATGCGAGGAAGGAACATTTATCTGGATTCAGCTTGTGTCCAAATTTTCGGAGGGCAGTAAAAAATTGTTCGAGGGAGAGTATGTACTCCCTAAATGTCCTAGCGTGGACCAGGTTGTCGTCGATATAGGAAGAAATGTTGTCACGGGATGTGACCATGGCTAGGGCTTCTGCTATGCAACTGGAGAAGATTTGTCCAGCAGATGCAAGGCCGAAAGTCAGGCGCATGTATTGATAGCATTGGTCCTTCCATGTAAATGCTGTTTTGTATCGGTCTCGCTTGTCGATCTCAATTTGCCTGTAGCCGCTGCATAGATCGAGGGTAGTGAACTATCTATTGCCTTTGCCGATTTTGTTGAACAAGTGGTCGATCCTTGGCATTGGGTAAGGGTCAAGATCGATTAAGAGCTTGTTGAGAGTTCTTTTAAAGTTAGCAATGACACGAATCGATCCGTTTTTCTTGCGTACGGCAAATACAGGGCTATTGAAGCCTTTAGGGTCGCTGCAGTTTTCATTGATACCTTCATTGGTCATGCGCTTAATTTCGGTATCTACGTCTCCTTCCAAAGCCTGGAGCGGGTCATGTGTTTCTTGGCTTCTTTGGGTAACTGAGATATTTCTTGTATCGTGTCTTCGGAAGGCTGTGTTGGTCCCGTTTTCAAGTTGAATAGTAGTGTTTTCTGTTCCTTGATGAGAGTAAATAGTTCGGCTCGGTGAAGCTCGTGTATTCGTCCATATTTCTCTTGCTGTACGTTTCTGACACCAGTATTATAGACAAGCGTATGGTTGCAAGAAAGAAATACGACAACAGCAGAAATAGATTTACGTGATTTATTTCAATAGGAACGTGTGGATTTGGGACAGCTACCTTGTGGTATACTTCATAGGCCGGCTGAAGATCTGGGTTGATCTCTCATAGTAGTTCTCGCTGAGTGGCATGGCGCAACTGCTGCTGACTGTGACAGGTCTCTTCCCTGGCCTCCTGTTAACTGCCATTGTACTTCCGTGTGACCCCTTTCATGGCGTTTTTTTATGGCTTGCCAGGCTCGTAAAACGACGTGAGTATAATTAGGACGGAAGCATTTTTATTGGTCGAAAAATAGAAACACTTTAAAATATTATTTTATTTTTCGACTGGAACTTGTGTCGGGAATATGCGTAAACGCGTAAATATTGTCATTTTGTGACGGGGCCTTGTCCCGTTCACATTCGTCTCTCGCTCTTGAGCATGTTAGTTTATTTGCCTGCAAATCAGCCGAGATATGTCTTATTTTATTTTATAACAGTTTCCTTATTAACTTTACCTTCTGTTTTTAATAAATTTAACAATATTTCCTGTGAAGCATGACCAAATTATTTATGTAATTTTAAAAGTGTATTTCTTTTGTCATTTCTTTCCAGATATCATTAAGTGATTTTTTCCGATGTCAATAACTGCTCCTGCCTTAGCTAGAAATTCCTTACTTAACAATAGAATTTTACATTGTACAACTTCTGTTTTTATTTTACATAAATGATTGCCAAATTTTGTTGGGAAAGTAACAGTTTGATATCCTTCCATCTCCAATTTTAAATGGCACATGACTTTTCTAATTTTTTATAGACATAAAACTCTTTAAAAGATAGTTAATCAAGCAATGAATGTAAATATTCATTACCACAAACTGTCTTGGTACATTCAGTGTCTACAATTGCTGCATTCCATGCTTCCATTACTAAAACATTTTGATTTGATATTTTGTCCAACATTTTAGCATCTGTCATTAAATTCATATGAACTGTCTCTTCAGAAGGTTTCTTTATATTGATATTTTCTGTCATATTAACATCTTTGTTAGCATGTGGACAGTCCTTTGCCCAGTGATATGTTGATTGACATACATCATATCTTGATACAACTCCATTAAATACAGAATTCATTCTTCCAGGGCTTCTTCTAATGGTCCTTCTACTGTGTCTTTTGTATCTTGCTCCTCTATACATCGATCCTCTAAATGGTTCCCTAACTCTACCATAATTCTATGTTATCATTGCTGCTTCTTTTATCGCCACTTCATTATTTATCCACAGTTCTGTTTTAGCAGTAGTAAATCATGGTCTCATACTTCAATTGTGGGCATGCTGTTAAAGCTAACTGTTTTTATTTTTCATTAATATTTGGATTGTACAGCAAACTCAGGGCCAATTATGCATAAGTGTCAATTTTTAATTTGGTACATTTTCTATTTAACTGTACAAATTCTACTATGTAGCCTAGCATTGACATTACTTCAGTCTTCTTGAAATGTTCAAATTTTATATAGGCTTCATATATTTCATATGTCTTTTCCTTTTCAAATAATTTATCCAATTCTGTTAGAACATATTTAACACCATCATCAGTTGTTAGGAGAGGTTTATCGATAGCTGTGGCTGTGACCGCCCCACGGCACTGGATCGGCCTTCCAGGAACCAGACCACGAAGGTTCCTCGTCCCGGAACGAATTCTTCGTCGACAGCGACAAGGAATGTAGCTAGAAGCCAGTCTCTGAGTCGACTCCACCCACAGTGAACTCCTCTGCCCACGCTGTGAATTTGATCTCAAGGAAGCCACGTGGGTTTTCGCTAGGTGTCTCTCAGCCAAGTCGAACCAATCCAGATGCGGACGCACAATTGGGTAAATGAAACGGCACCAATTATAAACAGAACAATGCCTGAGTACATTGTAGAATAGAAAGTCTTTATATACAGAAGAATTCGGAGTACAAGCACCAATTGTCTTCTTCCCAACCCTTGTCCCTAACAAGCTGACCACGGAACAGAAGTCTCGACTAATTTCTTTAAGGGGTGATTTTCATGTTTTCTGGTTGGCGTTATTTCTTCACTCCGGTCGGAGTTCTTGGTTGGCGTTATTTCTAAGTGTCTTTGTTTTCCTTCACACCGAAGCCTCACAGAAACTGACAAAGACTGTCTCTGATTGTTGCGGAGGTTGGCGGGAAGTGGTGTTGGTACTTCAAACCTCACTCCTCGGCTAACTGCAACTGCACTCCACTCCACTGGTCGCTACCTACTTGGGGCTTTGTATTTATGCTTGTCCATTCTTTACTGGTATGGGAATGACAGTCACTGGGGTGTGTATGTGAACCTCATCTCAGACCCTTGTTGGCCAATGAAATTACGGCTTCATTTCTTTCTTTCTTCTTCCCTCGTGACACAGCCAATGAGATAGCATTATTTCTATGACATCATTCTTTTCGTCTTCTTACCTCGTGACACAGCCAACGAGATAGCCTTATTTCTATGACATCATTCTTTTTGTCTTCATCCCTTGCGACACAGCCAATGGGATAGTGTCGTCTTCATGACGTCATTCCTTTTCTCGGCCCTTTCTTTCTTTCCAAAATACCAAATTAGTTTCCCAGGAAAATTCAGTTTATTTTTTTTTTCATATTTCACCAATTAGTATAACCTTTGAACCTGCCATAGATAACCGAATAAGCAATTTCCTTATGACACACTTTATAAAAGCGTTTTGGCTTTGTCTAAATTTAGAACCTCCAAACCACCTGGCTGTTTAAATCCTGTTAACAAAATTCACTTCCAACTCATTCTGTTGGGGGTCAGAGGGCATCTATTGTTCTGTGTTGACACGTTTTTTTGGTTTACAATCCACAGCTGGAAATGCTTTCTCCTTTCATAGCAGTCGTCAACAGTTGATTGACCCCCACAACCTCATCCGATATGACTGTTTTACTTTGAGAATACCATGACACTTGTGATAATTTTACCTCATTAAAAAAATATCACCTTTTTTTTCTCTGTTCATATTGGAAACAGAATAGAACATCACCTAATATAATTTTCTTCCATTTGGTCTCTAATGATCAATAGTATAAACTAATGCAATTTCTTCCGTTCAGTCATGCTAAATATTGTTACATGGCAATTTGTCATACTTTTCCTTCCAAAGAGTGTGCCAGTGCTATACCTTGTCTTGTTTTTTTCATTTCAGTAAACATTTGCCATAATTCAACTTCCAGCTTCCAAGGCTTGCAAGTTCTGACCTTTTATGTAAAGTAAATATGTGCATAACATATTTTCTGTTTTTGATCACTTCCATAGGGCTTCAAACCAACAGGTGTCTTTGTATTATAATTTTCATTGTTGGAGTTTTTGGTTTGTTTCTTATGTATTGATTTAGGTTGCTGGGGGATGCACACTGGGGCATTTCTTGCTGCTGTTACATCTTTTTGTGATGCTACTACTGGGACTACTTCCTGTACTAGTGATTGTAAAAAATTGTGTAGCATGATCTTGTTCCTAATATCAAGATGTTTTGTGATGGCAAGCATTTCCTGTTGGAAAACTGAGAGCATGCTGTTTATAGCAGTAGAGGACATGAGATTATCTAACAGTTCTGGCTGATTATGCCTGTACCTTTTCATTAATATCCGTTTAATTTCATCATAATTCTGTGGCTCAAAGATTTAAGGTCTTATCTTTGCTACTGCATCCATTATTACTGTATAACATTTTGTAGTGTTTGTGGTGATTTTATTTAAATGGAAGGGTGCATGGATGATGGAGGACCACCCTCTTATAGCAATCTCTATGAATGGCAGTGCCTTCATGTTCATTTGCCCTGTGGCATCTTTTGATGAGTTTGTTTCCATTGTAGTAGCATGTACTGGAAAAAATATTGTGTTTTTGTGTGTGTGTTTATCCTGAGGGCAACTGCTTGCAATTCAGGTAATGTTCAATATTTTATTTATTTTTTTCTGAGCATTTTAAGTACAGAATTTGTGGTAAATATATATATATATATATATATATATATATATTTGTACAACAGGATCATCATTTGTCATAGATTCTGGTAATGCATTGGCCTTGTCTGATTAATTATATATATATATATATATATATATATATATATATATATATATATATATATATTTGTTGGGTGGTGGGGTTAAAAGTGCATCATCAGCCCATAACATGATTAGAATATTACAAACAAAATCATCATATATAAGATATAACGGAATATGCATAGACAAAAACAATAAAATACTTTAGTATACATCTCAGTGAAAAGATTATATATTTTAAATAACATGTATACAGAAATAAAAAAAAAAGTTTTGCTTATCTGTTGTTTTATCAGAGAACTATTTTGGATGTCTGCCTCCTCTGACCGTCAAAAAGTGAAGAATGAAAGATTTTTTGTACTGATGCATCATGGGAGTATTCTATTTTTATTTTTTTTATATCTAACTTTTCTTTCTTTATTGAAAATTAAAAGTTTTACCTGTAATTTAAAGTATTTTTATTGCTCAACTTTTAATATTTCTTTTATTATTAATTACTTTGGTTTCAGACTACTACTTAGTTTAGTAATAGGTGTTGGGGAATATTCAGTAATTTATTTTTTGCTATCACTACAGGCTTTATAATGCAGCAATTTTAAGTTTTCATGCAGGATGTACTTTATTGACTTTATATATGCACTTTTTCTTTTTGATATGACTCATTTGTGTAATATTTATTTGAAATGTTTCAATCCATACAATTGCTTCAAAATCCAAATGATAACATGTATGGCTAATCATGATCTTACTGTAATCAATATAAAGATAATTTTTCAATAAAGAATGATTAGAATATATTAAACGAAACCTAAAAAAAATGATGTGATATAACATTGTCATGAGTTTGAAGCTTTCTTATTTAATCCTATGAAAATATCTATTTCGCCCAAGTAAGAAGAAAAACTGAATAATGAAAGATCAACATGAAGGTGTTGCCCTCTCAAGTATTTTATTTTATACTTGTAGCAATTTTGATAAAATATTTGCTGAAATTATATATTTATAATTAAAAATAAAGAATATAATCAGTGAAGCCAAAATGAATGAGAAAAATTTTAATCACTGATTTCAATTGCTGAGAATGTCTTTTGTTTTACGTAAAAGAAAAAATTGTGATACTTACATGAACGTCTGATGAGAGAATGTGCGCAGTAAAAATGTAAAGTGTAACTAATTCATGGTTTCATTTTATTTTCTACTACTACTATTCGTTGAAATACTCTTACTTTCATTATCTTTTTTAACCTGAATACTTTATTTACTATAATTTAGTAACAACTGAATTGGAAAGAAATCAACTAACCTGACAGTAACTAAGATTATTGATGATGTCTTCCTTTTATAGAGTAGAATGAAAAGAAAGAAAAAACCTTAAAATGCAGATGGGCTAAATGTTATTATTAGGTTGTCCCAAAAGTTTGTAAACACTTGCAAAAAATTGAATTGGACGAGAGGTTTTGCATTTTTTTTTTTTTTTTTTTGCACATTCTGACATCGGACGAGAAATGGGTCTGTCTGGTCCAGCACAATCGAGACAAGTGATGGGTTCAGAAAGGGCAATAGACACCGTCGGTTCCTCTCGAGTTGCTGCATGCTCATTTGATTATCACAAATTAATTCTCTTCTACTTCTAATTTTCCATACTGCCATACCCCCATGGCAATAATTATGTATGTACCTGTCATTGCTGACCAACTTATCGTGATCTGCTCTTCATCCTCCCAAGCCATACCTTCCTTTCCCAATGCACTTAACTTGTCCCTCAACTGATCATTAGTACTGGCATTTTATTCAAGGTAACATTGGGGAATCCCCTCACTATTGGCTCCCACAACTCTGTACAATTGACTAAGCTTTTGCCTAAAGCAAGCAAACTTACTGAAGTTGAGCGTACTTGAATTTTAGATTTCCATAATCGAGGTTTGTCACAGTGGGCGATCACAGCTAAGGTAAATCGCAGTAAAACTGTGATTTGCAACTTTCTACAGGACACTGCGAATTATGGAAATGCAAAGTCTACTGGTAGGCCCCCCAAATTTCTCTGGCATTGAGTAGGAGAATAAGACGGCTTGTTGTAAAAGTCAGTGGACTTTTTTCTAGTCAAATTAAGGCAACCCCATATGCTGATTGCAGTCCAGTAACCATCAGACGACACTTACGACAAAAAGGCATGGTAAATAAAAAGCGCAACTAAATTCCTTGGCTGCTTTAATGTCACAAAGTGAACCGTTTAAGGTTTGGTCGTGATTACCAAACATGGGACATTGGGAAGTGGAAGAAAGTCCTGTTTTCTGATGAGAAAAAATTAAATCTAGATGGTTCTGATGGCTTCCAATGATATTGGCATAACAAAAACATGCCTCCTGACATTTTCTCCACACGTCATAGTGGTGGAGGATCCCTAATGGTGTCGAACAATCACGTGGTCAAGATAAACACTCAGATGTGGAGCAAGCTAATTCAACATTGAGAAAGAGAGCTATTTATGGTGCAATGGAGCATCTCATTATGCTAAAGTGGGATAGTCCATTGCTTGGGCTGTGATTGGCTGCTGGTACCTGAGTGGAAGTATTTCTATATAAATACCAGCTTGATTCCTCAGTTTGTTTGCAGGGTTTGTATTAAGGATTGAACGGTGATGGATGAGTTCTTGTGGTGAATGAGTAAATTGTAATGTATGAATGGGTCGTGAGTCAGATTAGCTAGGTATAAGATAGTTAGTGTTGACCAGCCTCCCTCCCCTTTTTGGCCTTGTGCCACAATTGTAACCATTGTTGCAATAAATCTTCAGGGTTTGTATTAAGTTACAACCTGCTTTATTATGGGGTGCCTTTTTTTACAGA